AACCTAGCGCCTCTTGATCTACACCAGCTGTAGTGGATAAACCTAGCGCCTCTTGATCTACACCAGCTGTAGTGGATAAACCTAGCGCCTCGTGATCTACACCAGCTGTAGTGGATAAACCTAGCGCCTCGTGACCCACACCAGCTGTAGTGGATAAACCTAGCGCCTCGTGACTCACACCAGCTGTAGTGGATAAACCTAGCGCCTCGTGACTCACACCAGCTGTAGTGGATAAACCTAGCGCCTCGTGATCCACACCAGCTGTAGTGGATAAACCTAGCGCCTCGTGATCCACTCCAGCTGTAGTGGATAAACCTAGCGCCTCGTGATCCACTCCAGCTGTAGTGGATAAACCTAGCGTCTCCTGATTCACACCAACTGTAGTGGATAAACCTAGCGCCTTGTGACCCACACCAGCTGTAGTGGATAAACCTAGCGCCTCCTGACTCACACCAGCTGTAGTGGATAAACCTAGCGCCTCCTCACACCAGCTGTAGTGGATAAACCTAGCGCCTCCTGACCCACACCAGCTGCAGTAGATAATCCGAGCGCCTCCTCACACCACCTGTAGTGGATAAACCTAGCGCCTCCTCACACCACCTGTAGTGGATAAACCTAGCGCCTCGTGATCCACTCCAGCTGTAGTGGATAAACCTAGCGTCTCCTGACCCACACCAGCTGTAGTGGATAAACCTAGCGCCTGCTCACCCACACCAGCTGTAGTGGATAAACCTAGCGTCTCCTGACTCACACCAGCTGTAGTAGATAAACCTAGCGCCTTGTGACCCACACCAGCTGTAGTGGATAAACCTAGCGCCTCGTGACTCACACCAGCTGTAGTGGATAAACCTAGCGCCTGCTGACTCACACCAGCTGTAGTGGATAAACCTCGCGTCTCTTGATCTACACCAGCTGTAGTGGATAAACCTAGCACCTCGTGATCCACTCCAGCTGTAGTGGATAAACCTAGCGTCTCCTGATTCACACCAGCTGTAGTGGATAAACCTAGCGCCTTGTGACCCACACCAGCTGTAGTGGATAAACCTAGCGCCTCCTGACTCACACCAGCTGTAGTGGATAAACTTAGCGCCTGCTGACCCACACCAGCTGTAGTGGATAAACCTAGCGTCTGCTGACCCACACCAGCTGTAGTGGATAAACCTAGCGCCTGCTGACTCACACCAGCTGTAGTGGATAAACCTAGCGCCTGCTGACCCACACCAGCTGTAGTGGATAAACCTAGCGCCTGCTGACCCACACCAGCTGTAGTGGATAAACCTAGCGCCTGCTGACCCACACCAGCTGTAGTGGATAAACCTAGCGCCTGCTGACCCACACCATCTGTAGTGGATAAACCTAGCGCCTGCTGACCCACACCACCTGTAGTGGATAAACCTAGCGCCTGCTGACTCACACCAGCTGTAGTGGATAAACCTAGCGCCTCCTGACCCACACCAGCTGTAGTGGATAAACCTAGCGCCTCCTGACCCACACCAGCTGTAGTGGATAAACCTAGCGCCTCCTGATCCAGCACCAGCTGTAGTGGATAAACCTAGCGCCTGCTGACTCACACCAGCTGTAGTGGATAAACCTAGCGCCTCGTGACCCACACCAGCTGTAGTAGATAAACCTAGCGTCTCGTGACTCACACCAGCTGTACTGGATAAACCTAGCACCTCCTGACCCACACCAGCTGTAGTGGATAAACCTAGCGCCTCCTGATCCAGCACCAGCTGTAGTGGATAAACCTAGCGCCTGCTGACTCACACCAGCTGTGATGGATAAACCTAGCGCCTCCTGACTCACACCAGCTGTAGTGGATAAACCTAGCGCATCGTGATCTACACCAGCTGTAGTGGATAAACCTAGAGCATCGTGACCCACACCAGCTGTAGTGGATAAACCTAGCGCCTCGTGACCCACACCAGCTGTAGTAGATAAACCTAGCACCTCGTGATCCACTCCAGCTATAGGGGATAAACCTAGCGCCTCGTGATCTACACCAGCTGTAGTGGATAAACCTAGCGCTTGCTGACCCACACCAGCTGTAGTGGATACACCTAGCGTCTCGTGACTCACACTAGCTGTAGTGGATAAACCTAGCGCCTCAGGACCCACACTAGCTGTAGTGGATAAACCTAGCGCCTCTTGATCTACACCAGCTGTAGTGGATAAACCTAGCGCCTCGTGATCTACACCAGCTGTAGTGGATAAACCTAGCGCCTCGTGATCCACTCCAGCTGTAGTGGATAAACCTAGCGCCTCGTGACTCACACCAGCTGTAGTGGATAAACCTAGCGCCTCTTGATCTACACCAGCTGTAGTGGATAAACCTAGCGCCTCTTGATCTACACCAGCTGTAGTGGATAAACCTAGCGCCTCGTGATCTACACCAGCTGTAGTGGATAAACCTAGCGCCTCGTGACCCACACCAGCTGTAGTGGATAAACCTAGCGCCTCGTGACTCACACCAGCTGTAGTGGATAAACCTAGCGCCTCGTGATCCACACCAGCTGTAGTGGATAAACCTAGCGCCTCGTGATCCACTCCAGCTGTAGTGGATAAACCTAGCGCCTCATGATCCACTCCAGCTGTAGTGGATAAACCTAGCGCCTCCTCACACCAGCTGTAGTGGATAAACCTAGCGCCTCCTGACCCACACCAGCTGTAGTAGATAATCCGAGCGCCTCCTCACACCACCTGTAGTGGATAAACCTAGCGCCTCCTCACACCACCTGTAGTGGATAAACCTAGCGCCTCGTGATCCACTCCAGCTGTAGTGGATAAACCTAGCGTCTCCTGACCCACACCAGCTGTAGTGGATAAACCTAGCGCCTGCTCACCCACACCAGCTGTAGTGGATAAACCTAGCGTCTCCTGACTCACACCAGCTGTAGTAGATAAACCTAGCGCCTTGTGACCCACACCAGCTGTAGTGGATAAACCTAGCGCCTCGTGACTCACACCAGCTGTAGTGGATAAACCTAGCGCCTGCTGACTCACACCAGCTGTAGTGGATAAACCTCGCGTCTCTTGATCTACACCAGCTGTAGTGGATACACCTAGCACCTCGTGATCCACTCCAGCTGTAGTGGATAAACCTAGCGCCTCTTGATCTACACCAGCTGTAGTGGATAAACCTAGCACCTCGTGATCCACTCCAGCTGTAGTGGATAAACCTAGCGCCTCTTGATCTACACCAGCTGTAGTAGATAAACCTAGCGCCTCCTCACACTAGCTGTAGTGGATAAACCTAGCGCCTCGTGACCCACACCAGCTGTAGTGGATAAACCTAGCACCTCGTGATCCACACCAGCTGTAGTGGATAAACCTAGCGCCTGCTGACCCACACCAGCTGTAGTGGATAAACCTAGCGCCTCAGGACCCACACCAGCTGTAGTGGATAAACCTAGCACCTCGTGATCCACACCAGCTGTAGTGGATAAACCTAGCGCCTCCTGACTCACACCAGCTGTAGTGGATAAACCTAGCGCCTGCTGACCCACACCAGCTGTAGTTGATAAACCTAGCGTCTCCTGACCCACACCAGCTGTAGTTGATAAACCTAGTGCCTCCTGATCCAGCACCAGCTGTAGTGGATAAACCTTGCGCCTCCTGACTCACACCAGCTGTAGTTGATAAACCTAGCGCCTCCTGACCCACACCAGCTGTAGTGGATAAACCTAGCGCCTCGTGTTTCACACCAGCTGTAGTTGATAAACCTAGCACCTCAGGACCCACACCAGCTGTAGTGGATAAACCTAGCGCCTCGTGTTTCACACCAGCTGTAGTTGATAAACCTAGCGCCTCAGGACCCACACCACCTGTAGTGGATAAACCTAGCGTCTGCTGACCCACACCAGCTGTAGTAGATAAACCTAGCGCCTCCTGACCCACACCAGCCGTCAGCATGCAAACAAAAAACAATGACAATTTATGCATTGTCCTTGAAACTGATTGGTCCACACCAGACAACTTTCCTTGCATTCTGACTGCAAGTATTGTGGTTAATCTAAACATGATTCCTTGCAAAAGATTTCAGTCTTGTTGCTAGAAAAAAATGGGAAAAACCCTATATTTTGGTACTGGCAAAGGGAGCCCTCATTACTCTGATTGTGCGTTGTCTTTGAACTGTGCGCCTTTTGGCGTCATTTGGTCGAACACCGTATGAGACTAGGCTCTAAGGAAAGCTGTCTCTGGTGTGGACCAATCAGTTTCAAGGACAACGCATAAATTATCAGTGTTTTTTTGTTTGCATTCTGACTGCAAGTATTGTGGTTAATGTAAACATGATGCCTTGCAAAAGGCTTCAGTTTTGTTGCCGGAAAAAAGTGGAAAACTCCTATTATTAAGACAAACCAAGTTATCACGTGGGCAAACGTGCCGATGGTTTTTCAGCAAACTGTAATGTTGAAAAATCCAGCAATTTTTTTTACAATTTCATACAAAGTTGTCTACATTTTGCTTGCTGTATGTGATAAAAAAAAGATATTGGCACTAGAAATGTATTGCTATAGGATACTGCATCTAAGCTGGAACCAGAGTGACCAATGTAGAAGAAAAAAGTTGCACATAGAAGACGACCTGATGCAGGCAGTGATGAATGAGAAACGGAACCTAGCACAATTTGGACACATGTAGGATGGAAAACAGGAAAATGAAGCGTGTTGTTCAGAAAAATGGAAGGAACCGGAAAGAGTGGATGACCTAACAGAGAATGGCTTGACGACACGAGAGATTAGCGCCAGAAATATTTGGCCACTACTTGCGAATATTGGTACAAGACAGAGGAAACTGGAAATAAATGCTGAAATGTTCAGTGAATACCCACGGGCGATCTGCCCATGGATCGTAATGATAACGATGTGATAAAAACAAGGTAAACATTTGGTCGCTTCGTAAGAGGCAGGGGCAGAGTCGAGGCTCCACAGGCCCATCTCCCTCCCACGTGTGGCTTTACACCGACCGCCAAGCCAAGGACCAGAACGCACTAAACGGGGTACTTGACAGTCACAGAGTCTTTTATTTTTCCACTGAGAAATAAACTGTTAAGTTTATTAAAAAATGTTGAGACAAAAAAAATAACTTACACAACTGGGAAAAATGTTCTGAAAATAAAAGTCACGCCAAAAGCAAACGCCGCCAGTTACAAGGTCAGGTCTCATTCTCCTCCCCAGTGTGGTTCCATCTCCAACCGTCACAATATCCGGTCATCCTCGCAGCAGCGGTGCGCCACTTTGGCTAGCCACTGGACAAAGACGCTCACCGCCTTGCACGCTTTCAGATGCGCTTCTGTGGCCGACTGGAACGCTCTTCCTTCCGATATTAGGAAGCCACACCGGGAGCTATTCGCTTTTAAATCGGCATCTCGATTGAAAACTAATTTCTTTAGAACTTTTTGTGTTTCGTTTGTTGTCCTCACGCACACTCCGATTAGCACGGATGGCTACACATGGTACGAATTAAGTTGAACATGCATACATCTTATCTTACCGGCTCACTTACCCTCCCCCTCTAACTGATGCTGAAATAACTTTGTTTTGTAGATTTTGATAACCTGTGTTGAAAGGAAACCTTAAAACAAATGACATTTGGTTACAAATATAATGGCATCATGAAAAAAGTAGCACTAGAATTTCCAAACACAAAAAAAACCTAATCTGCTCAAAGAAGATCGGCAAGAACTTAGAAAGTATTGATGAAAGAAACTGGCAATGCATGTCATACAGCGACACTTTTGCACTGTAAAGTTAAACCAAAAAAATTATTACGCGCAATCACGAAGATACTTTCTGAATTTGGACATTTGTGAAATGTATGATTTAAAATTTAAAACCCAAAATATCCATGTGGGAGACTTTTGTAATGCCCACATCTGGCGGTGTGGGCGTTTGGCAGCCTGTGGCAGCCTGTGGCAGCCTGTGGCAGCCTGTGGCAGCCTGTGGCAGCCTGTGGCAGCTTGTGGCAGCCTGTGGCAGCCTGTGCCAGCGAGCAGGGCTTGTCCTCACTGCACCAGGCGGTAGGTGATGTAGCGTCCGGCCGTCTCACTAGGCCGGATGATTTTCACCACCTGAAACACAAGCGCGCGCACACATCACCACCACAAAACACCACCGCCACACACACAGACATACCACCACCACCACATGTTATTTGGATCTAAATACCATGTTCCCACAAACTAGTCACAAATATGACACTTTGCATCATTTACAGTGCAGTAGTACACGTTCATTATCACCATCATCAGCCATGGTCAACCCACTGCCGGATGAAAGCTTCTCCAAGTTTCCACCATTTCTCATGATCATGTGATGTACTGCAATGCCAGAATAACATTTTTCTAAATCAGAATCTGAACATTATTTATACTGGAGGATTCCGATGAGCTATAAAGCTCTTTTTTTACAGATGTCCAGTAGGGGCACGGGGTCAGAACGGTACAACACTACAAAAAACACGATAGGAGTGCAAAGTATAGGAAAGGTAAACAACGTGATTGGTATTCTTAGTTTTTTCGGTAAAGTTCCCTTCAACGTGACTTTACCGAAAAAACTAAGAATATGAATTACTGCAGTCACGAAAGCTTTAAATCAAAACGTGATTGGTGTATCTTCTTTGGTTCTTTCGGTAAAGTCACGTAGAATGATAATAAAATAATAAATTGATAAAATAAAATAACACAATAATATTCTCACGACGTTTCGGCCACAACACAAGCGGCCTTCATCAGGTGAAGGGGGCGAGACTGTCTGGTAGGACAGCGCTGGAGTGAAAGAGCCACGTTCAGATACGGCCTTTAAGCTGTGTGAGAGGAACAAAGTGCCCTCAAATTGGTGTAATTTAGTTTTGGTGTAATTTAGTTTTGATTAACTAGCAGCCCGGCACATCCTTGGGATGTGACCCAAACCATTTTGTAATTTAACTTGTATTATATTAATAGATGACGTTTTAATTATTTATTATTGTTAACATGAGTCTCAATACTCTTTTTCAGGACGGCTCTGCCAAGCGGTGAATTTGCTCCCGTGTAATTCCAACTCGGCAACTTGCAATACCGTTTTACAGCTTTGGGATTTTTGGCCAACAGCAACGACAATTAATGTACAGTAAAACCTTGTATTGCGAGCATAATTCGTTCCGGAAACGTGTTTGTAATCCAAAGCACTCGTACATCAAAGCACTCGTACATCAGTTGTGATCACGTGACGCTCGGCAGTACAAAGCGTACACGTGCACTGCTCGTATTGCAAGACCCTCGCTCGTTTATCAAATTAATATTTATTTAAAGTTTTTGCTCGTCTTGCAAAACACTCGCAGACCAAGTTACTCGCAATCCAAGGTTTTACCGTCTTTGTTTGCAATGGGAGGAAACGGGAGAACCCGGAGGAAATCCATGTGGAGCGAAGGCAGAACATACAAACTCCACGGGGAAAGGCATCAAAGTTGGGAATCGAACCCAGAGCCATGTTGCTGTGAGGTACAAGTGTGACTACTGGCGGTATCACCCAAGTATGTAACAAAATTAAATGCACACATATTTCGACTGGAATTTGCAGATTTTCACAACGCAGCAATTAATCTTGAAACATTTAATCGGTTTTCAGACTGTTGTTTGGCGATGGCCGGGAGAGTTGGGTGAGGAATGCAGCTCACCTGGCCGCGCTTGAGCCCAAAGTACCTGGCGACGGGGTCGCCCTGCTGGATGCGAGGCAGCTGAGACTCCTTCAGCTTGCTGTGATTCCGTCAAGGAGACTAGCAGCAACGCGGCGAGCCCCCAAGCGCACCGGGCGCTAGGCGTGCGTACACCGGCGCGTCCGCACGTGCGCCATCACAAGCACCCCCACACGCACGCATGCCCTGAAGCCTTTTACCGTGGTTACATCGATGGGGACTCGACGGTATTATTTTTTTTATTCCAGAAATAAAAGTTGAACGGTAACGTTTTGCAGTGATTCAGGCTTCCTGGATCCTGTCCTGGTGCTGTTTGACGTAGTTTTTTAATAAAATGTCATGTCAGATTCCTAAACTTAGTTTAAACTTAGTTTAGGAATCTGAAACAATAATTGGCACGTTAAACTTGGCCCTCTTGGGCCATGTTGGGTGCTCGAGGCTTCTTAACGTCACAAATTTAGTCCGATTACTCATACACTCACAAAAATCAAACATGAATCATACTAGCGATGAAATCCCAGTTTGTTAAGTTGATGTGCATGGTGCGTGCATGGTGGCAAGGCAGCGGCTGGGCAGCAACGAAGGATACTATCTTGCCAGGAGTTCCGTCACCTCATCCTTGGTCATCACGTTGTGCTCTGGGACCAACTGCACACACACACACAGATAGACAAAGATCCTCCATATAGCCTTTAACAGATTCTTGGGGCAAGTGCTGTTTGCGAGCACATATGAAGGCTGGCACGGCACACAAGGGGGTGGATGGCTAGCACCATGCCCGGCCGCCTTTGTCTGCCCAGTGTTGATGTTTACAAATCGTACCATGTACTCACTTAAAGACCGGTGAAAATGTTCGCTACGGTTATTGGTTGAGAGCGGGAATCCGGACTCGGGTCGCTGGGTTCGTAGCGCAGTGTGCTAACCACTGCACTACCGCTCCCCCATTGCAGACAAATACATATGCAGATAATCACAAAGCTGTACACACACTGGCACATCTATGTGCGAGCACATGCCCAAGTCCTGGATGTCAACTCATATGACCTGGTCACAAACAGAAAACTCTGAGACCTATTTTGCCAGCATCAAGATGATATAAAAATAAAAGGGTGTAACCTCTCTGGCAATAATACAGGCGGTGTTAAGATGTTCAAACACCAAACAGGCGCCCATTACAAGGCATTAAGTCTGCATTAACCACACATGCTTGTTGGTAAAACACGCAAACAAATATGATTTGACAGTGTATGCAGTGTCCTTGAAATTAATTGGCCCGCACCAGAGGAGACAGCCTCTTTCATGTCTTTGTCTCACCAGTAATAAAGCCCAAAGAACGCCAAAAGGCAAAAAGCACAAAGTCAGCCGTCTACCGTGGGGGGCTCCATTTCTGTATTTGAGAACACGTAATATCACTCTCTTAATCTAGGATTGGAAAAATATTCACGCAATATTCGTATTGTGCTCCGTTAGATCAAATCGAGGTGCATTAATATACGCCAGAACAGATCCTATGTGTAAGGCCACTGTTTCATTGATGAACCTGTTGAGTTTTTGTTGTTGTTTACCTCCAATAAAATTTGGTAAGGGTTCCACAGACGATGTCAATTCGCACACGTAACAATGATTTCCTTTGGATAGTTTCCAACAGGGACCATGATGCTATCCTTGTAGAAAGACGACAAATTGTATCACGGATTGGTTGAATACTCAACCTATATAATAAATGACTGTTGAGGGATAGCGTTTGAGAGTTGAATATGCAATGCCAGTAATTATAACCAACGCATGCAGAGTTATGTTACCTCGTGCTCTGTAATGTTGATGAGAAGCTCCTGCTGCAGAAACTGCTCCAGGATGTATTTCGGGGCCATGTCAACCAGAGACTGTGACATACAGCATCACAACACACACAGCAAGTCAACCAGAGATTTCACACACAGCATCACAACATCACAATACACACAGAATGTCAACCAGAGATGTCACGCACAGCATCACAACACACGCAGAATGTCAACCACAGACTGTGACACACAGCATCACAACACACACAGCATGTCAACCACAGACTGTAATACACAGCATCACAATACATACAGCATGTCAACCAGAGATGTCACACACAGCATCACCACACACAGCACATTAAACCAGAGACTGTGATACACATCAGCACACAGCGCATCACAACTTACACAACATGTTAACCACAGTTACACAACGGGATCGCAACACACACAATGTCAACTAGGAATTGTGACACAGAACGGTTTCAGTCGAGTGTCTGCAACACAACGGCACAGTAACAACAGCAGCTGCCGTTCGGCACTGATTGGCGGCGACGTCACAACTGAGCTTGTGTCTGGCTGGGTGCACTCTGAGGCCATGTGAAGTGTCAATGGCGCACTGATGGGAGGTCATGGGACATATCCAGATGCCATGGGTTAACTGACGGGGATGACTGGCAGATGCACCACCTGTGCTCCCCACTAGGCCAAATTGCAACGTTTTATCTGCCTGGCGCGCCCGCTCATTGTTGCGAGCATCGCTCCTCCCAAAGACTCAGCTCACACACAGGCACCTGCATACACATGTGTCAACACTGCTGTAATCTTCTCCAGTCTCTGCATGTGTGCCCCATCTCTCTTCCATGTCATCTCATTTAATTCCACGTGATTCCGTGTCTCATTGCTATTTCACCGCTCTCTAAAGTCCCGCTTGTGTGTGGCTCTCTCCGAGTACGCCAGGCTTCTCATTCTGACTTCTCCTGCATGTCTGCCATATGTAAATACCTCCTCCTTATCTCTCTCACCTACAGACCCGTGTCTCTTATCTTCCTGTTCTCTCTTCTCCATTAACTTTATGCAAGTGTTAATATTTTCATTCTAGCTCTCTCATGACCGTCTCTCTCTGCCTTCCAGCTCTCCACTGCCTCTGTCTCTCTCTAATCTCATTTCAACATGTCTTCCCACTAAGCCCTTGTCTTCATTTCTTTGAAATGGAATTTTATTTTTTTAAAAGCCCCAATTCAAAAATGAGAAACAGAAAAACGTAAATATAAGAATAAAAACCAAGAACGTTTCAAACTGATCACAAACTCAACGCCAGGCATCCACGAAGAATATTCACAACGCCACCACCCAGGCTAAACTCACGCCAACCACTGTGGACGAAAGCAGAGGTCCTTCTGGAATGGACCATCGCTCAAGACCGAAAGGTGGCGGCACCGATGTGCGGGAATGCAGACGACAAAAAACTGGAGCCCGGTTGAAGATCCCAGAGCCAAACCCCTTGGACTCGCAGTCCCGAAGCCTTTCCCTGTTCACCTTTGGAGTGCGACGAACACGTGCTCTGGCTCCTACATTAACGTACATTCGATCACATAGTTCCAGAAGCTTTCGCGATGGCTTTACCAGAGGAATTTCCATCTGGTACAAATACAATGGGATAACTCTACATCGGTCAACTATGTTGTGTGCTGATGACCTGGTAAATGCTGCTCTCTCTGAGAAGGCGTTGCGAGACTCTGCTGCTGAAAATGGCACTAACAGGTGGGGCCTGACCATTATCCCCATAAAAACAAAGCACCTGCCTGGGTATTGTCATCAAACACTCCACCCCCTGAACCACACCAGGACCTCTCAAGGAGGGCGGTGTGGATCATATCTTCTGCACAAGACGAACCGCGCTTCAGCTGTGCGGGCAAACCTCACCCAACGTAACGCATTGTGAACGGTCGCCCCTTGTACTCCCTTCCCAGCGGGATGACAAAAAAGTAATTTCTCCCATCAGACGATGTTCTTGACTGGCTATCTATACTCGATCTGCCCTTGCAAATGTTGCCATTTCTATACAACAGAAGAAGTCCTACACGAGGCCACCTCTATCCGAAAATTGTCCAGACTTCATCATTAAACATTTTGGCCGTCCCTTCATGCACGTTCCCTCTTGCTTAGCATCACGTCACGAGTTCAATGGCCTCCGGTGACGTGCACATGGGAGGCCCCTTTCCCTAATGATTTGTGACGCATCTGCCGTTTCCTTAATGAAGTGTCTCTACATCACTTGCGTGGCTTTTACCATGTATTGTGAATTACTGTTTAGATTTAGGGAGACTGCTTTGTTGATGTAAATTACATGGCAGGGCTGCGGGTGTGAAACATTAGGTGTGAAATGAAGACATGTCTCCACCCGGGACCGTGGTCAAAACACAGCGTTTTAAATTATCAATGGAAAGATTTACCAGTCTTTCAAATTGGAGGATGAACACCACCAGTATGTTTTACTAGGCTGAGGCAGGAGGAGTTAAAACTGACTGATTCTAGGCCAGCGGTTGAGTAGTCATGTTCAAGGAGACACGTCAAGGATTGTGTCCATGCGATAGCTCGTGAGTACATCATTTCACAAAGAAGCAGGCCTGCAACTGAAGTCATGTTTTGTCGTTGGAATAATTCATCGAGGAAGTGACTTGCACACGAGGTGAGCACACCAGTAGCAAATAATAATAAAACAACTACATAGCCCATGAGTGCATGATACTGTATAATGCTGCTTATTCCCAGCTGATGTGGTTATAAAGTGTAGAGGGTTTTGGTTGCTGTCAGAAGTTTGGCGTAGCTGCATTGGGCCACATTGGGGGAGGGGCGCGTGGTGTGGCTGCGTGGTGGGGCAGCGTGGTGGGGCAGCATGGTGGGGACACGTGGTGGGGACACGTGGTGGGGACACGTGGTGGGGACACGTGGTGGGGACACGTGGTGGGGACACGTGGTGGGGACACGTGGTGGGGACACGTGGTGGGGACACGTGGTGGGGACACGTGGTGGGGACACGTGGTGGGGACACGTGGTGGGGACACGTGGTGGGGACACGTGGTGGGGACACGTGGTGGGGCAGCATGGTGGGGACACATGGTGGGCCCACGTGGAGGGGCCATGGCATGCGTGGAGGGGCCATGGCAGGCGGCCATGTGGTGGGGCTGCGTGGCCCATACAGCGCTGTACCTGCTTGGCGGACGGCGTCATGCCCTGCTGCACCACGATGATGGCCCGGGTGATGTTCTCCTCCTGCATGCGCTGGCAGTAGAGCTTGATGGTCTTGATCCCCACCTTGGGCTCCTCTGTGACGGTGCAGATTTGCACAGGGCACGCGTGTTACACCCATGCGCCGCGTTACACCCACGCGCCGCGACCCTCTAATCCAGCACGTGCACGCATGGTCAGCGCAGCGCAACGCACAGGCACTGACACTCGTGCGAGACGTCAAACTGTAGAGCAGAGGTGGCTGGTAGATTATCGTACACCAGCAGGTTGCTGACCAATCTGTATATATTTTTTGAGTATTATCTTACGATATGCATGCATTTCTTCCATCAGCACAAAAAATACGTTCAGGAATTAACCAAACATTCCAATGACTATGGAATCAATGGAGCTTTTCTGGATATATAAAGGACATTTTGATTATTTCAACTGCCCTACCAGCAGCGAGCAAGTGGACTTGTAATTTGTGCGTGTGGACATGCGTATGCACATGCATAGCCGAATGCACGTTTGCTGAGTATAACTGAAATCACGAGTGAGCAAGTCACGTGCGTGTGTGGATATGGATTTGGATGTATGTGGGGAGCGGTAGTACAGCGGTTCGCACGCTACATTACAAACCCGACCACACGGGTTCAATTCCTGCTCACGGTCCACACCAGTGATGATTATTTAAATTGGTCCTGGGCATCCCCTAGGTCGACTCTGCCTCAGATGAGTACCTGTGTACAGTGTGTAAAACATCGCCACTCGCGAGGCAAAGTGGTGCTGGCCACCCACCCCCTCGTGTGCCGCGCCGGCCGTGATAGGCGCAGCTCGCTAACAGCACTTGCCCCAACAGTCTGTTAAGGCCACACGGGGGGGGACCTTTCTTTGTGTTGTGTCCGTGCGAGTTCTCGTACCGGGGAAGAAGACGAACATCTGGTCGGTGGGGTCGTCGTTGTGGGCCACCAGCACGGTGAGGTCGGAGCGCCGGGGTCGACCCTCGCTGGGCTTGTCCCCGAACTGAGAGCGGAACTCCTCCAGGGACTGGTCCAGCTCATCCTGGGTCACGAGGTACCCGCGGTCGTGGCACAGCTACACACGGTGGGACAGCGACAGCAGCAGCTACACACGCAGTGCTGTACGTACCGTACAGTATGTTGAACTTCGTTCGCACCGTACGTAGCCAACCGTGCGCGGGAAGGGATAACAGACTAAACAAAGCAGTTTTACAGAAATGAGTTTTCAATCACTACGTCTCTTCATATTCGCTGCGCTGCATATCAGAGCGCCGCACTTAAAGGCGAAGTGGTGCACCTTTGAATTGCACTGACAGGAGGAATTGCCGCCTCCAGAGATGTAATTTTACTTTTGTGCGAGCGAGTCGATACACTTCTAAAGTGTGCCAACAACGCCAAAGCGTGGCCCCAAATCTAAACGAGTTGGTGGCCCTAAGCAAAAGTTCCAATTCCCTACATCAAGCGCCAGGAGACACATGGGGCAACTCCTGGTGATTCCTTCAAAGTGGTTCTGGTTCGTCAAATGGGGAGGAATGATGGACTGATCTGATCCCTGATCAAACGAATTATTTGGCGATGCTGCTTTTGCGCTGGCAGTGGTGCATAAGCAAATATAACACAAACCCAACATTTTCCAATAAGAGTGCCGTAATAAGAAAACATGCCATAGGCGACGTTTCGGGCAATTGCCCTTCTTCATTGTACACAGACAGGCAAGCGAGGCAGAGTGAATAATGGCTGGAGACTGCACGATACACCGGGCATGGTAGAGATCCCTGATCAGGACTTCAACTCGCACCCTTCTGGGGTAAATCATAATTTTGATGGAATTGTGTCATTCATAATGACCCGTAATCACAAGGGAGCCAGGGCGCTAGGCATGGAGCCAACACGCCGCCAGTGCCGGAGCCAGGGCGCTAGTCGTGGAGCCAGGGCGCTAGTCGTGGAGCCAGGGCGCTAGTCGTGGAGCCAGGGCGCTAGTCGTGGAGCCAGGGCGCTAGTCGTGGAGCCAGGGCGCTAGTCGTGGAGCCAGGGCGCTAGTCGTGGAGCCAGGGCGCTAGTCGTGGAGCCAGGGCGCTAGTCGTGGAGCCAGGGCGCTAGTCGTGGAGCCAGGGCGCTAGTCGTGGAGCCAGGGCGCTAGTCGTGGAGCCAGGGCGCTAGGCGTGGAGCCACGCCGCTAGTCGTGGAGCCACGCCACTACACAAGTCATGGAGCCACGCCGCTAGTCATGAAACCACGCCGCTAGGCGTGGAGCCACGGCGCTAGTGATGGAGCCACGCCGCTAGTCGTGGAGCCACGGCGCTAGGCCTTGGAGCCACGCCGCTAGGCCTGAAACCACACCGCTAGTCGTGGAGCCACGCCGCTAGGCATGGAGCAACGCCGCTAGGCATGGCGCCACGCCGCTAGGCCTTGGAGCCACGCCGCTAGTCATGGAGCCACGCCACTACATAAGTCATGGAGCCACGGCGCTAGGCCTAGAACCACGCCGCTAGGCCTGGAGCCACGCCGCTAGTCATGGAGCCACGCCGCTAGTCATGGAGCCACGCCGCTAGGCATGGAGCCACGGCGCTAGGCCTAGAACCACGCCGCTAGTGATGGAGCCACGCCGCTAGTGATGGAGCCACGCCGCCAGTCGTGGAGCCACGCCGCCAGTCGTGGAGCCACGCCGCTAGGCCTTGGAGCCACGCCGCTAGGCCTTGGGGCCACGCCGCTAGGCCTTGGAGCCACGCCGCTAGTCGTGGAGCCACGCCACTAGTCGTGGAGCCACGCCGCTATCCGCGCCACTCACCTGCATGATGGTCTTGCGGATCTTCCACAGGCGGTACGTCTCCTCGTCGTCATCCATGGCGGGGCCCGGCTCCTGCTCGACCTCTCTCGGACCTCTCCCAGCGCCCTGGGACCCCCGACCCGGTACCCCCGACCCTAGGGGACCCTCGCCCGGTACCCCCGACCCTAGGGGACCCTCGCCTGTCCTCGCCTGTCGCCGCTGCCCCTACCGCTGCCTTCTCTCTCCACGCCGCGAATCGCTACTGCGCATGCGCGAGGGTGTGCGCGCGCGTGGTGTCAGCTCGGAGGTTTTTTTTTCTTTTACCCCCCCACCACCTCCATCCTCCGCCTCGGCGACGAGAATCGATTCTTTGAATCGCGGCGCGACGATTCCGCGACGAACCGCGCGCGCCGGTGGAATCAATTAGTGAGCTCTCACCGCGACACGCGGTCCGCCTCGAGGTGCACCTAGGCTGGCACGAGGGGCACGAGGTGCACCAAGCCTGGCACGAGGTGCACCAAGCCTGGCACGAGGTGCACCAAGCCTGGCACGAGGGGCACGAGGTGCACCAAGCCTGATACGAGGTGCACCTAGCCTGGCACGAGGTGCACCAAGCCTGGCACGAGGTGCACCTAGCCTGGCACGAGGTACACAAAGCCTGGCACGAGGTGTACCTAGCCTGGCACGAGGTGCACCAAGCCTGGAACGAGGTGCACCTAGCCTGGCACGAGGTGCACCAAGCCTGGCACGAGGTGCACCTAGCATGGCACGAGGTACACCAAGCCTGGCACGAGGTGTACCTAGGCTGGCACGAGGTGTACCTAGCCTGGCACGAGGTGCACCTACCCTGGCACGAGGTACACCAAGCCTGGCACGAGGTGCACCTAGGCTGGCACGAGGTGCGCCTGGGCTGGCACGAGTTGCACCTGGGCTGGCACGAGGTGCACCAAGCCTGGCACGAGGTGTACCTAGGCTGGCACGATGTGCAGCTGGGCTGGCACGAGCGCTGTGGTGGCGTCACCGTCACACTCCGTGTTGTGTGGTTTGTTGTTGTTGTGTGGTTTGTTGTTGTTGTTGTGTGGTTTGCTGTTGTTGTTGTGTGGTTTGTTGTTGTGTGGTTTGTTGTTGTGTGGTTTGTTGTTGTTGTGTGGTTTGTTGTTGTTGTGAGGTTTGTTGTTGTTGTTGTGTGGTTTGTTGTTGTTGTGAGGTTTGTTGTTGTTGTGTGGTTTGTTGTTGTTGTGAGGTTTGTTGTTGTTGTGAGGTTTGTTGTTGTTGTGTGGTTTGTTGTTGTTGTGTGTACACGGAGCGGTGGCGCAGCGCTACGAACTGGGCGACCCGCTCGCGACCACCACCAGTCGGTAGGTGACGAACATCTGAACCGGTACCTGGGCCTCCCCTAGGTCGGCTCGGCCTGAAATGAGCACCCGGTGCGGGAAATGTGAAACGCCAGCACGAGCGAGGGACGGAGCGGCCGTGCGATCGGTACTGGCCACCCACCCCGACATTAATAGGCGCTCGCTAACAGCGGTCCGGGGAAGCAGACATTGCAGAACTGTTTTCAGGGATTCCTTCCAGTGACGATGTGGCCACATTAGGGGGCAGCACTCTCACATATTTCCCGAATTGGGGCTTTGTTGTTGTGTGCGGTCACGGATCACCGGGCAGACTTGTCATCGATCGTCTCACGCGTCACGCGTGGGTGGGCTTCCCTGTCCCGGCTTCAGCGTTACGAGAGCGACCGTGACCTACGATGGCGAACACAACTCCTGAGTGCCCATGCCTGGCCAACCCCTTAGGGGCCGTCCATAAATGACGTCACGCGATTTTGGACGATTTTTGAGTCAAATATGACGTCACAAAGCTCTGCCCCTCGCCCCTCGCCCCCCCCCCCCAAAAAAAAATACGTGCTTTAAATTTAATTAACTATTGCCATTGTAGTGCGTATGTAATGTGGCGCTGCACTCTGATGTTGTCGGAGAACACATTTATTAAAAAGTGTATTTAATTAAGTAGAACGTGTTGTCTATATTTATTGATGTGGCGTCAAATTTCTCAAACACCCCCCCCCTCTGCTCGTCACACATCGTCACAAATGTCTGACCCCCCACCCCCCCCCCCTAGGTGCGTGACGTCATTTATGAACGGTCCCTTATCAGTGCCCTGCCTCATTACAGACCCTGCTCACACCTGCATAATACAGGTTGATTTTTTAGGGTTAGATCGCGTAAATATATAAATGTGTCGTTAAGCCCGCCACCACTCGACACAGCCGATTAGTAAGGGTTGCCACATAAACAGAACATGCCAATTCGTCTGTACAACTCTTACTAATTCACTGTGTTTGGTGGTGGCGGGCTTAACGACACATTTATATATTTACGCGATCTAACCCAGAAAAAAACCCTGTATTATGGGTGATATTGGTCGCGCAAGCCTACGTGTTAAACCAATTCAGACCTGATTGGTCACCCCGTGTACCCCTTATAAATCTCAACGTTCATCCTACAAAGTCCCATCACAAGGGAGAAACACAACACAAATAGACAACAACAAAAATGTTTGCCCGTATTGAAACGGCTGTGCGCCGTTCGGACGTGACAACTCAATTTCCCTGTACAAGAATACGGGGAAAACCGTATGGGTTGACAGGTACACGTACGGCTATATGTTCAAGAGCTCGATGCCAATGTCCATATCTGTTGGCCACGACGAGAGGGCTTCCCGCAGAAAGTGTGCGCCGTTTTCCCGATCATCCTCCGTTGAAGGAGGAGCGCAGACTACCGCGGTGGTTTTACGATAGGGTCCGCAACTTGGGTCGCATGGCCACAGTCGAAAGACCCGTGGCTTCTCTTTGGTTGCTCACTTACGTGATGGAGGTGATGTCAGGGCATGGACCCAGCTCGACACGAGCTGTGTGGTTCCGAGAGGAAATTCTGACGAACGTGTTGGACCAATGGCTGACACCGATCGATGGATGTGGCCAGAGTCTTCATAATATCAATTAAGGTGCGTTTCATCCGTAGACACACGCGTCGTGTGTGTAAAGCAGGATATTGACAATGGGAGGTAACGGCCGGTTTGAAGGAGTGCGTTTTCTAGACAGACTTAAATATTCATAATAAAGGTTTTTGGGTTAGATCGCGTTTATTTATAAATGTGTCGTAACCCTCCACCACCCGACACGGCCAATCAGCAAAAAAAAGTGTCACGTTGACAAAAGACAAATAATTCACTACTTTAGCCCACCGGTGTGTTGAAGAGTGAATCCACATTTACAGTTTGAGTACGACGTTTCGCTGGTAAATACATCCAGCATCATCGGGCAATTCGCCAGAATGGTAAAGCCCTCGCTTGCTCCCGGTTTTATATAGAGCAGCAGGGTGACGTCATCACTTAACTCAAGCCTACGTGTTAAACAGACTTAAATATATCGAACAATTCTCATTGTCTTATTATATTTATACTTCTTTTCAGATAACATTTGTGATAACCAAGTCGCTTCTGAAAATGAACGAATTAGCTTAGTGGGCTTTAGCTGGTATAATAAAATAAAGTCTTTACATTTTAGCTTATTTAGTATTAGTAATTTGATTACATTTCCTATACTGTGCACGCCTTTCGTCTTTTTTGTATTGTTTGTTGTTGTAACGTTCTGACCCGCCCTTACTGGGCATCTGCGAAGAAGAGAGAGAGAGAGAAAAAAAGAGAGCTTCATAGCTCATCGGATTTTTCCAGGATAAATATTCCGATTCAAGCCCTCCCCCCGCCCCACCCGTCACGTCTCTCGCGCGCCGGGGCCAGCGTCCTCCTCGCATTCCCTCCCGAGCGACTCGCTCGCATTCACATCGACACCGGCGCCCGAATCCGCGCCCGCAACGAACGTAACGAGGTTCAGCACCGAGAGGCTTTCCCCCCCTCCTCCCCTGCCTCCCTCCCGCATCTCCAGAGTTATCAAGCCGCCTCCAGCAAACCGCACACCGGCCACACTCGCCATCCGCTCACGCGTTGCGCGCTCCGATTTGTGCGTGGTGAGGCTGTAGTCCATCATAGAGAGGGATGGGTGGGTGGGTGGGGGGGCGTTGGGTTAGATGGGTTAAATGCGTCGTTAAATCCGCCACCACCCGACACAGCCCAATTAGTAAAGGGTTGTCACGTAAACAAAACACGTGGCCAATTCGTTACTCGTTCAGCAACACCGGCGTGTTGGAGAGTAAGCCCGCAACATTTACAGTTTTTATTTACGCGATCTAACCATAAAAAACAACTCTTACGGATAATATTGGCCGCGAAAGCAATCCACCAAGTGTTAAACTGAGGCTGCAGTGTAGCAGGGGAAGTGAGCGAGAGCCAGTCCTTGCTCTCCCCGCTGGAGTGCGCGTGGCACTGTGCACGCCTTACCTTGTGGGGAGCGGTAGTGTAGCGGTTAGCGCTACGCTGCGCTATGAACCCGGCGACCCCGGTTCGATTCCCGCTCACGGCCAACACCAGTGACGATTATCTGAACCGGTCCCGGGCCTCCCCTAGGTCGACTCAGCCTCAAATGAGTACCTGGGCGGTGTGTAAACATTGCCACGAGGGAGACAAAGGCGGTCGGGCGTGGTGCTGGCCACCCACCCCCTCGTGTACCGTTCCGGCCTTCATAGGTGCTCGCTAACAGCACTTGCCCCTACAGTCTGTTAAGGCTATATGGGGGATCTTTATCTTTGTATCTTTGCCTTACCCTCGGCGGCCACTGCCTGGCAACATCGCCTCGACTGGGCATTTGTGAAGCAAAAAAAAAGAGCTTTATAGCTAACCGGACTCCTCCACTATAAATAACGATTCTGATTCTGAACACAGCGCCCATCATACTCAGACATGCTCAATCCACTCCGATTAGCACGGTTGGCTATGTACGGTGAGAAAGAAGTTCAACATGTAGTACATATATATAAAGGCCTCTCTCTCCCGAAGCGGTCACCATCTCGCACGTTCCAGCGATTCGTACGTTCCGTCCCTTGTTCGTCACTATGTTGTTAGTCTCGACCACCGGTCATCATCCTTTCCATGAATTGTATCGGGGTAAGACGTTTATAAATAAATAAATATAAACGGTTACACATTAACCAGCTCAGAATATGCTGACGACATGATCATTATGAAGTCAATTTAGCAGCGTGTATGTCTCTATACATCAGTAAGCTCGCATGACAAAGAAGACCTTATCCGTCCTATAGCGCTCGGCTCGGGTTACAGCATCATCTTTCCCAGGGAACAATCGTGAAGAATGACATCACGGAAC